AATGATAGTTACCATGGACTCGTTCGATGAGTTGTCTTTTTCGAGATGGAAGAACACCATTAGGTTGAAGAGTACCATAGCTATTGGTTGGAACACTAATTGACTGTCTTATTGAACTGAGATCAGAAGCATCACCATTTGGTTCTCTTTCCATTTTCCTTGCAATTTCTTTCGAATTGTCGAGTAAAAGACTTTCTAATTTGGAAAGATTATCACCATTCACATTACATATCTCAACAAAATCAAAACCATGTTCGTTAGCGAATTTTAACCCTTCCTCAGTTGAAACGGTTCTATTCTTGATTCCAACATCTGTTTTAGTGGCAATTACAATTACCTTCGCATCAGATCGTTGACTAATTAAATTCAACCATTTAGTAGTACATTGTTCAAATGTATTTCTATTAGAAATATCATAAAGTAAAAAAAAACTATTGGCAACTCTAAGGTACCTTAGCATTATATATTTCTTTCAAGAAGTATCTTTCTTGTCCAGCTGTATCCCAAAGCTTCATCTTGATAATTACATTATCACCCGATTCATCTAAACTTGTTGTAAACAATTTTGTTCGGAAATCCAAACCAATAGTTGACAAAGAACCCATAAAAAATTGACTACCTTACAACCTGAGATTGGGTGTGTGCTATCGGAAGAGCTGCTACTTCCCATTTTTTTAATGATTCTTGCAAGATGTGTGACATCTTGTGCATTATAACAGTTTGGTGGCAAACTGAGAACATTGGAGTTAAAAAAAACTCGTAGCCCGTCTAGCTCAGTCGGTAGAGCGCAAGGCTCTTAACCTTGTGGTCGTGGGTTCGACCCCCACGGTGGGCGATTCATATTTTTGAAAAGTTTAACTTATTTTCAACATTGTACTTTCCCTCCAAAATCTGTTTCATCATTTCAACAATAAAAAAAGAATGGCTTCAAATCTTCTTCGACTGGCCGATAGATGTGGATGCTATGATGAGGATGAATTCAATTCTCAGCAACAAGACAATGAAATGGATTTAACTAACCTATTATCGGAATCTATGAATATTCAAGATAGAATTTTTCAACTCCATGAAAAGTACGAATTAATGATGGAATATAACAAGACGTACGATTTGCTCAATGAT